TGTGATAAACTCGATATGTGCCATTATATATAACTTACAAATAATGTAATTTTTTTTTAAAATTTATAGTGCGTGTATATATATTGGTTATGGTCTTCCCAATCTACAAACAAAGAAAATATTTGTCCTGGGACTAAAAGTCTTGTTATATAAAATTGCCCGACCAGACCTGAAAGATTTTGAGGATAGAATGGAAAAGAAAATGATGTAAATGGAATTACTCTTCCAACTGTGCCCTCTGCGTGTGTGTGTGTCTTATTTTTTTTTTTTTAAGGAAATGGACCGGGAAAAAATAATCTCCCTATTCTCAACTCTTAGAAAAACAATTGTTTTTTCTATTTATGGGCTCACAGAATCTTTGGGCCCACTGAAACACTCATGATTTATAAATCATTGGTTTTTAATTTTTTTAAATTATACATGTAGGGCTGAAATGGAAGCATGTTGGATGATGAAGAGAGAAAGTAGAAGAGGTGAAATGAGAAACAGCGTCTATATTAAACATAAGGTTTAAAACGAATCCAGATTTATCGAACCCAAAAACCATTCTGAATCCTTAATTATGCTTCAGGAAACCTAATATTATCAAGTTGGCTTACATAAGAAGAGTGCTGAGTGGATCCAAATCTTGTGAGCAACACCATTCTGTTTTCCTCTCTCAACGAAAATGGAGCAAGAAATCAATCAACTCATATTCAACATGGGTTCCCTCGGAACCAGTGCTCCACAAAGGTGACATTCTCCTTCATCTTTGTTTTCCTCCTAAAATTATTCATTTCAATCCTTGAAATTCTCATACATGTGTTTTATAAAATGTATCTCTTATATTGAAACAAAAACAGAGGTGTTGAAGAAAGATTTTTTTTATTAGTTTATTATTAGCATTTTGTGATGAGAATGCAGGAGAGGATTATCCAGGTATTATTCTGGGAAAGCGAGATCATTCACATGCATAGCAGATGTGCAATGCTTGGAGGATCTGAAGAAACCTAAACATCCCGACAACAAGAAAAGGAAAAAACATTCCAAAAGTAAAAACAATAACAGCAGCAGCAGCAGCAATGATAACATTAACAATCTTCCTCCTTATGCATGCCGAAGGGTACCTAGTTGTGCTCAGTTTGCCACTCCTTATGTCAATGTCTAGATCCACCCTCTTCTCCTTTAACAGATGCCTAACCAAAACCATTTTGTATATTCTATATCCTTGTGTCAGTATTTGATGTCACTCTTCTGACAACCTATTTAACAACTTATTGTTCGCTTGTGAAATTTTTAGATTTGTCCTAGTATTTCAGGGCTCCCTCTCCTCAATTTTGCATGTACATTATTTATATAAATAAATACTTCCATGGTGAAGATTTCCACCTTGCAGTATGCTTTTTCATCCGCAGACCATTTCCAGCGTTTCAATGTATTATTTCTGGAGGGATTGAGGGGGAAAAAAAATCATACTTTGGAATAGAATAAATATTTTTCGTTTCCGGATATAGCAGTACAGCGGAATCTCAGACGTGACTGGTGTGAAAATATCTTCCATCCATGGAAGACCATGTTTTTCAGTGGGATGCCAAACACAGTTTTCATTCCCAAAAGCTAAATTTGCAGTACATGACGACAATGTTGAATAGGATGCCAAACTGCAGAACCTTTTTCACTGATCTAGATGTGAGAAAGTCAATATGATGTCAGTTATCTAAGTCAAGAGAGTATACATGGCCGCTACAATCTGTGAAGAATCCTGGAGAACAAACGTTAACTATCTCAAGACTAAATAATGGCGGCTTCCAGACCTGTTAATAACAATGGCCAAAAGAAAAATCACCAAATCTCCCTACAGATACAAAATTAGGATGGCAAAAATCATCCACATTTTACTTCACACGTGCCTACTGCAATCTTTTTCTTTTGTTGCTGTCAGAATTCCCATCAAGCATGACAAGATCGTCTTCATCATCAATTACTTGATAGTTCTTGTGATTGGTTTCATCACCAGCATTTGCACCAACCTCCGACGTTTCAGAGATTCTTTGTTTCTTCGCCACAACTGCTACACCAGTCTCATCCTTTCCAGCTTCTGTGGCTTCTACTGTTATATCCAACATTCTTGAGCCATGGTAGATTAACTTGTCTTCCTTTGCCTTTTCTGGTACTGACACAGGTTGAGTCCATCCTGAAAGAAGCATTCCGTCAGGCTCTTTCTCTTCGTCGAACTCTTCCCTGTGAAGAAAACAAAGTAACCCAACTAATAAACCCAACAAGTAAAGGAAGTGGAAGAGGAAAAGGGGAAAATAGAAATTCCTCACTACAAAGTTAATCAAAGTTAGAAAGCTACTTTAGCATTACATAGAGTTGAAAGTGCAAACATAAAGAGAAATGAGGAAGTACCTATGCTTGATGTTGATATTGCAAGACAATTCCTGTTGAAGATCCTCCACCGAAAGCATCGTACCACTTGTTACAGGAGAAGGAAGCTCAGCTAGCACCTGCAAAGGGGAAGAAAATTGCTAAATACAACGTAACAAACAAATTTGAAAACAATTTGCTAGAAAGATACCTTTTCAAGATTGGCTTCATAATTTGCGATCATGTCTTCATCAAGATCATCACCAGTCTCAAAAAGGAGGTTTGAACCTTGCATAATAATCGGCAAGTTCATCCCAAGCTTTGCCTTGACAATCTTTTCCACAAAGTCCTTCAACTTTGAACGATGTGTGTTTATCTCAAGCAGTAGAGGTGTCTGTCAATATCACATACAGGGCATGAGCAGTCTATTTGCAATTTGTAATCATTTAAGGCATATCATGAGAGAAGGGCATATTTCACATACCTCAGAACAAACATAACAAGACTTGTTAGGTTCAAATGGTTCCACTGGCATAAGCAGCATCTTTCTTGATGGGTGTTCTAGGCAATACGTCATTCTACAAAATTATTAAATTAGATTAAAAAATCAGTATAAAGATGACGTTCAAAGTTGCAGATTAGTCAATTAAATGGGGATAAAGATTACATACACGAGGACAAATAAAACACAGACCAAACGTTCACATGCTTGTTAAATAGCTAATCAAGTAACATGTTTTTATCTACACCATATGCACTGCATTAAACTAGACAAGAATAGTAATCCTGCCAGGTCCAAAATACAAGTAAAATTGACAAATTATTTTACTTAGCAAGGTAATAATGATGACACTATAGATTATTTTCTTCAACAGAACAATTGCAGGACTCTGTGTCAAGGGTTCATTGTCACAACTCCTTCTCAATGCCCAACCTAAACATACGGCATATTAACAAAACCACTTTTCCATGTTTTTCTGGGAACATACCAAAGATCACCAAGGAAACTAGGAAAGCAAAGCGCAAAACAGAAGGGAGAGAAATATCACCATACCTATAACTTTTTATGTCATTTTTCAGCACCTTAACTGCTTCAATGACAATTAGACCAGCAATAATTGCATTGGTTGTCGCAACGGCATGCACAATGTTACCAGCAATACCTTTAGCTTCAAAAAGGCTATGTAGTGGGATGCCAAATGAAGCAGCGCGTATGTTAGCAGCTGCAGTAACAAATTCAACTGCAAGCTGATCATCTTTATCAAAGCTCAGGTTGCCAATCTCCTGCTCAAAATCACAGAAAGAAAATACACCAGAAAAGGGAGAAAAAAGTTAAGTGCCACTTCGGCAATATATAAAATATGAAGTGATCAGTGATCACTACATCAAACACGTGAAAGTGCAAAACAAACCTTTCCCCTCTTCATGAAAAATAGCCTCAATGTTTCAAAAAATATTCTAGAATTCTCAGAAAGACTCCAAATATCCTGAGGATTCTTCAAACCCAAAGATACCATGGCAGACACTGAAGACCCATCATCAGTCGCAGAATCTCTGTCCACGTTTCCATTCTGCTGAGCCATTTCATCAGACAGAATATCCTTACTATAAATAGGCTTTGGCTTATTGCGATTTTTCCATGTCTCTTCATTAGACAAAGCTAACTCAATGTTGTAACCAAATACATGATCAAATATTCTCCTTCCATACTCATCAATGCCCTCACCTTCCCTACGTTCAAATACATCAACCACGTTTTCTGATGAGCTGGCACCATCACTAGAACGTATGTTTAAATCATTTTCCTGATTCTTGTCTCCAAACAACTTAGCAAAAAGCAGGTCTTTGGCCCAAACAATACAGTGAACGAACTGGGGGGAAGCAAAAAAGGCAGATGCTTAGATACCAACGAGTAAATAATAAAATAGATTGTAAGTAACAAATTCATGCATTTATTAATATAAAAACTGCCAAAATTCATCAATACTGTGAAAATTCAAAACTGCGCCTACCTAATAATTATGTCATCCAACAATACTTATAAAAAATACATTTAAAAAAATTAAAGCAGTAACCCAACCTAAAAGGAAAAATATCAAGAGTCAAGATAGCCCAAGCTCCTTTAGCATCAATTTTATAAGCCTATTTTTCCCCAGATTCACACTATTACTATCCCAACAAAAGATGATGATTACCATTACCTAAAGAAGCAGATGAAATCAATATATATATATATATATATATGGGTCACAAGGTAAAAGCTAACAAAAACAACAAATATAAACTCACACCTTTGAGGGAGTGCTTGTGATAGTACAAACAGGAAATGTCTTGGGAGCTGGTTTAGGTTGACACTCATAGCACTCTGTTCTTCCCTTGACATGTACAGTGACCTGCACTCCATTAACATAACATCACAAAAATTGTGGATAAAAGACTATCGCAATTGCTGACCATAAAATTGGATATTACATCAAGTGGATCCAGCAAATTTTTATAAGTTAATAACCGAACGGGTTCCAAAAGCATATCTTTAAAGTAGGTTAAAAAACACCCCAAAAAAAAAAAAAACTCAGAGCTTGGGACTAGGCACCCTAAATGAGCACAAATGGGGCAAAAAATCATCAATATTAACAAACAAAAAGTATTGAATAGGACTACAGCTTCAACTATCAATGGAAATGAATATGACTTGTGAGGGAGCCCATAAGTATGTTAAAAAAAATTACCTGTCCAAGGAACCCAGTCGTTCCACTCTCAACCAGTGGAACATTAGCTGCCAGGCATAAGCGATTCACATGCCTTCGCGCATCTAGATTGTCAAGTCCATTCAGAACGACATTAAATTGCTTAAAGAACTCCACATTGAACTCAGGATCTTTGACATTTGCATGGTATGATTTAATGCTTATGTGAGGCCTAAATTTTAAGACAGCGTCCCTAGCAACCTGAGTGAGGACGTTATTAGGTGCCTGTACAAATAAACCCAAACCACTCTACAATAATAGCAACATAAACTTACTTTCGACTTGGATTGGCCAACATGGGATCGTCGAAATAAAAATTGTCTGTTCAGGTTACTGACTTCTATAGTGTCCATGTCAATCTGTGTATTGGAAATAAAACAAGTGAATGGAAGTGTGAAAGCACATGTATAGTCTAAAAACATAGAAATAATATAGAAGATGCATTTAAATGGTGCGTTGCTACTGAAAAGTCCCCACTCCCTCCCCAAGGGCATCCATCGGAACACACGCACAGGAGGGTCTGATATACAATACTCCAGTACCTCTTAGTGGCTATCATGATGCACAATCACTTAATCCAACTACACCACACGAGAGCTCATTTAGCGCAAGCATATTACAGTGACTTCAAGAACAATCAACAGTCCATCCTCTTTTTCACTACACGTTATGACAGCATGCACCTATTCCTCATTTGTCACTCCCATAAATACCTTCCTAACATAAACCAGGCAACGGTAGAAAAAAATAATCAAACTTAATATTAAAATTGAACGAAAACTAAGAGAACCATTACTCACGCACAATTTACTTCTCCTAGTGAGTTATAGACGCCACAATTTTCTTTAAAAAAAGAAAATCCATCGGGCCACCGTACATAAAAGTCAGTTCCGCAAAATTGAGTAAACCCCTGTGCACGAAAACCCTAGCGAGAGCACTAATCAAGAATATACCATAAACCCTTCTGAAAAAAAGGGATTAAGATAAAAGGAAGCAGAGACTTCTGACTTCAAAATCATAAATATGAACTCACAATATGTATGTCCTGAAAACCCGACAGAGCGAGAGTTTTCAGCAGCTCGCAACCAATTCCACCAGCTCCAACCATAAGCACTTTTGCTCCCTGAAAAAACAACCAAAATCTACGTGAGATTAAATTCCAGAAAATAACACAAAATGGGAGAGCACCGCGAAATTTTTATTACCTTTACCCCAGAAAGTGGCGAATCCATTGGAGATGAACAGTGAGGAAGACACAGAAATCTCGAAAATCATAAAGGGGAAAAAAGGGAGTTAGAGAGAGAGGGAGGGAGAGAGAAGGGGTTTCACTCGGAACAAGGGCTTAGGAAGAATCGAGCCGGGGATATGTGCAGCTAGAGAATCTGAAGGGCGAAGAAAAAGAAGGGCTATACAGAGAACCTGGACAATACCACCAAAAAAATAATAATAATAAATAAAAGGAAGAAAAGGAAGAGTCTTTGTCACTCTCGCACTCTGGGAGGCAGCGATGGAGAGAGTGGACGGGTAGTTCAGCTCAGTGAGCAGCTATGAGTATTGCGATTCAGACGACACGACGGTCCTCGGAGGCTTTTGGACTCAATGGACTTGAGAATAGGGATTTGAGTCGGGGTTCAACAACTTGAACTTCGTCGGCCACTGCGAAAAAATTAAAAACAAAATCTTGAAATTCATGGAAAAAAGAACTTTAATTCCCATGGATTATTCAGGGCGTGACGATTTGGGCGTAGGGAAGGGGGCACGACTTGAAGTAACTGGACGAGTAATATCGTGACACGTAACTTCAGTTACGTTCAAATGGTTTGACCAATGTGTTTTGTTCTGGGGAAACTTCCGCCCGGCCCGTTGAATGGAAAATAAAACAAGAGAGATCACCCAAAAAAAAAAAGAATTTCAAACAAAAAAATGTAAAGAAAATTTTTTTTCATTAGTAACTTAAGTGATTTTACGCTCTACAAGACAAATAAATATATGAGAAATATTTATCTCATAAAACATGAGAATTTTTTTGAATTTACTATTAAAATTTGTCAAACATCAGGATTTAAATTCTAGAATATATGTGGAGAGAGAAAAGAAAAAGAGAATCCTCTCCCTAAGCAATCAAAATCAACTAAATTAATGCATGATCTAGGAATTCGGGATATGAAAAGCTGATTGATTTTTTTCCCCATAAATAACTGAAATTCAAACAAAACAAAATTATTTTGGAAAAAAAAACAACAAAAATATATTGTAACTCTTCCTCCGGCGCGTAATATAAGAAGTTTATTAAAACTTTTGTTACATACTAATAAATAGAAGTTTAGTCATGAAGTTTATTCTAAAATGATAGAATTTCTATTTTAGCTCTAAAAAAAAATGAAATTGCTTTTAATGTTACACTTTTATTATCTCTTATCTGTCTCATGTTTAATAGGGATGAAAGTGAAAAAATTCATATCACTTATCCTTATAACTACGAGCGGTAATACGAGTCAATCCGTAAATTGACTTATTGCAGATTAGAGTTAAGTGATACAGGTTGAAAAGGCTTGTGTAATGACGGGTTAACTAACTCAGGGTTGGCAGGCCTTGGGTCGACAAATTAGCTTGCCAACCAGCTAACTATTATTTTCTTTTCTTTTTTTAAAATTTTTTATTAAAAATATTTTTCTTATACAATATAAAGAAAATATAATGAAATTTTTACTTTTCCTTTAAATACTTGATTGAAAACACTAAATAAATGATATTGGTATTTTTTTTTACTTCTTTATATATGATATTAAATATAATTATAATAATTAATAAAATTTAAATGCAAAAAAAAAAAGCAAGCTAGCCCACTGCAGGTTGTGGGTCATGTAATGTAGGTTAAAAAGTTTCGTTTATTGGCAGATTGACTTTTAGCGAATCCTAACTTGTTATTTTTTGTGAATTGATAGCTTAAACCTACAGGTTTAACCCATATTACAAACTCTACTTATAACGTCTTCTGTTTTGGACTATAATTTTCTTCTAACCAATGTTTTATATTATGGACAAGAGGGAGTACTCATTATAAAAGAAAAAACTTAAATCAAATTTCTTATATTATTATGTCAAATTTTCTAATTAAACATGGTTATGTATTCTTTATTGTTTCATATAAATTTATTTATTTATTTTTGCCAACCATGTGAATATATAATTAAGTATTAATATTTCAAGAACCGGATACATGATAATGTATAATTGAAAAGTTTGACATAATTGATAAGCTTATGTAGGTGTTGTTTGATTATAAACTGTAATTCTAAAATTGAAGAACTTGATTAGCAAATTAAACTTGACAAGTAACAGAAGCTGCGTATCAATCAAAGATGTTCTTTATAAGAATTTGCATGAGCCAAAGCACAAAACACAAGCAATTACTATTGATCAGATTCCTGCGCAGTAGTTACAAAGCCATTACAACTTTTGTGAAAGGCGATTTGATGGCTCTGTTAAAATTGAAGCCTTTCCCCACTTTAGATCTTCAATTTCAGGATCACTTGGCATTGTGCAGAAGAACTACTTAGAAACTAAGGTAAACAATTATAATTCAGATACACGCATGGACGAGGCTCGTGGGGGCACGTAAAGCTGTTCTGCCAATGTCAAAAGCTACAGCAGACTGCAGAAAAGGAAGGGGGGAAAAAAACAAAAAAGTGTACTGCGAAGAAAATTAAAACCTCGGAATTCACTGAAAAGAAAAGGCAAACCGCATAGGATAAGCATCCAAATTGAAGTTGAATTGTTGCCGCTTTAATGAGAAGAAAACCAAATCACCAAGTGCAAGGCGAGTGGATATGAAAACCCTAGAAGCCTTCGTTTGGAAAACGGCCAAATTAAAGATGAAGAGAAGACGGCCGGGAGGCACACCTAGTGGTCGGTTGAGATATAGGCACCTAGATGTACAAATCATTAATAGTTTAATTTCAGCTTTAGCTTTTAAAAGTAGTGAAAGGTGCACTTATTTGTTTCTCTTACTGTACGAGTCCGGAAAGAAAATTAAAACATGTTTTTTTCACTTAGGGCTTGGGCGTGTTTGGATATCCTAAAATTTTTTTATAAATCGAGATAAACTCCTCTATATATTTATTTTATAGGCCGTAAAATCACTCCTGAAATAATTTTGGTTTCTATTCAAGCACTCCCTTATTTATGTTTATTTTAAGTGTTTATATAAGTATTTTTACGTAAGTTCACACTCGATTTTTCATACTCTTGTTATGGTTAAACGATTCTTTTGGGATAATTCATCTAATCCTGGGACAGCTATAATGTTTTAAAGCTCTTTGTAATGTTATAAAGTTTGGTTAACTCTTTGCCCAATTTTATAAAGATAAAACTTTCCTTATATACAAATAAAAAAACTACTCATGAGTTATTACAAAGAAGTCCTTAATTTAGTGTTATTCATGGCTTTTAATCGCTAGCCTGAGTAGGGACTTTGGTTCTCAAACTGATCTGCAACATTATGCTTGAGCTGTGATGATAAATCACTATTTCATCTGCTTCAATCTTCATTTGCTCCTTCGTGACGGAGGGTAATGATGTGTTTGGTTAAGAAGCTAAATCTTAACCACCAGTTGGCGCATCAAGCCCAAACCATTTCAATATAACGCTATACTCCTCCGGTCCTTATTATAAGACCCAATTTAACTTTTTATTTGGTCCTAATTATAAGACCCAATCCATTTTGTCTCTTATATTTATGTATTTTTTTTCAAGATATCCTTCTATAATGATAGTTTTAGCCAATATACTTAATTATAAGGATATTTGAGGAATGACAATACTTATTTATTATAAATAACCAACTTAACTTACTTCCTTAATTTCCTCAATAGTCAATTGGGTCTATAATTAGGACCGGAGGAGTATTTTTTAATTTCTCCTTGTCTTCGAAACAGTACATCACCCACATACAGTCAACTTCTGAATCGCTTTTCTTTTTCCCTGCTTTTTTCTGGTTTGACTAACTTTTCTTCGTTGAAAAGCCAACGCATTCCGTTTTTTCCTCCGAGTGAAAGAAGGTAACGCATTCTTTTGCGATAATCGGGGCATGTTTGTTTTTTTTTTTCTTTGCTTTATTATTCTCAAAATAATTTTATAAGATTATTTTTAAGAACAGGTTTTGGAAACAAAAAACCAAAAAATTTGTTTGGAAAATAATTTTTAAAAAATCACATTTAAAAAATATATAAAAAAATTACACTTTGACAAGTAGTAGCTATCACTGATAATGATAAGTAATGGGTAGTAGAGGGAAAGAGAAGAAGATTTTTCTAATTTTTTAAAATAAAAAAATACAAAATACCAAAACAAAAACAAAAAAAAGTAAAAATTGTTTTGGTTTTTCAGTTTTTAAAAACATTTTTTGTTTTTTAAAACAATCAACCAAAAACAAAACTGCCAAACAAGTTTTTTTGCTTTTCTGCTTTTAAAAACAAAAAATTGTTTCCAAAATAAGAAACCAAACAAGTCCTTAATCTCTCTGTGTTTCCTATTTTTCATGAATTTCTAATATGCTACCTCCTGTGTCACTCTTTCAATCCTTAATATATGATTTAATTATTAAGTTAATTTTAAACTTAAATATAAGACCTATTTATCATATTTATTAATTTTTTTCTAAATTACTCTTATAGATACTTCCTCAACCATAATCAAGTAAATGAGGGAGGAAAGACATTAAGAAAGATGATTGTGGTGTTTTAAGAAAAATATGTCATATTTCTTATAATTAACGAACTTATCTAACTTTTTAAATTTAATTAAATTAATTAAATTAGTCTTATATTAAATATCGAAAGAAATATAAGCTATATCTTTTTTTTTAGCCAGCAGCTATGTCTTATATTAAACATCGCGGATATAATGTTATTTATTTTTATTGGTTGCTTGCTACAAACACGCACAAGGAGATCGCTGCGGAGTGGATACCATACTTAATATTACTTCCAGTTTTTAATATAAAACTTAGTTGATCAATTTGAAAAAATTAAAAAAATTAATTAATTATAATAAATATATATTTTGTTTTCTAAAATATTCTTATTAATTATATATATTTGAATTACTATTAATAGTAACTTCTTAATATATACAATTATCATAGAGATTATTTGGGGACAAAATAAATAAATAATAAAGACAAAATAAATTTAAATTTTATATTTAGAATCAAATTAAATATCAAACTAGTTTTTATATTAAAAAATAAAAATAGTATATGCCAAAAAAAAAAGCGGAAGTAGTAAAAGATTTAGTTTGCACTTCAAATTAAACTAAACACTAGATTTTGCGTTAAGAATCGAAACTAGTAATGTTGATATATCTTCACATTCCTTTCTTATTAGTTATTTCACCGAAAATGATTCCAGAAAATCCAGATTATGGGTGTATTTGGGATAGCAGTGACAGAAGTAACTTTTTTTTTTCAATCTGCAGATTGAGTAAAAGTCAGATAAAGTAATGTGATTTATGTTTGGATTGGGTTTTCAGAAAAGTCAGTTTAAGAAGTTGAAACTTGCTTGGATAATAAATGTAAAAGTAAATTTGCATGTAAAATGACTTAAAAAGACATGAATTTTATTAAATAGTATATATCTAATATTAGATATATATAATTTGACTATTTTTTAAGAAGTAAGGAAGATAAAATTATTAAAAATAAAGAAATTTAATTTATTATTAGAAAGAAATATATATAATGTGACTATTTTAAATGAAGTATTAAAAGTGAGCTGAGAGGAAAAAACATGCAGGTCAGGTTGGGAAAAATTTTAACATCCTAATAAATATATGTAATGGTTTCTCAATGCCCATTGCTGCTCCAAAAAAAGCCCCACATTTGAGTTGAAGAAGCCAGATTGTGCAGACATGGATCCAAACAGGATGAAACATGCGGTCTGAAAATAGCCCAGTGGAGCGTTTGGGCACGTTTGGAAGCCGGAAAAAATGGCCGGTGAGACCGTGAAGCAAGACTGGAAGGTGGGGTAAAAACTAAAAAGTCTTCGCAAGAATAACGTCAAATCACATAGGGTCATCAAAGCCGGAAAAAATGGCCATAAAAATCAAAATCGCGTCAATTTTGTAGTTTTTGAAAGCCAATCCCTCTTCAGTCCCAAACCAAAAAAACAAAAGAAAAAAAAAAAAAAAGAAAAAAAAAAAGAAAAAGCCAATCCCTCTGCTTCTCTCCCTCTGCTTCTCTCTCAAGTCTCACCCACTTGCCTGAATCATCAAATTTTTGTACTTTTCCTGCAGCTCTCATTATATTTTACAAACCACCCAATATTAAAAATTATATTACATTCTCACTAATCATATTTTAAACGAGCTGTGCCTCATATATGGGAAAAAAAAACATTGTTGTAGCAATTTGATAAAATATTATATTACTATATTTGATTTCTCATGACGTGGAAACGTTATCTTCGGGAGGCTTCTCCCTCCCTAAGTTAATTTACCACTCACTCATGCATGGAGTTAGTTAACTCAAAACGAATAGATCTTCACTTAGGGTGTGTTTAGATGAAACCAGACCATGGTTTGGAGAATAGCTTCTGGAAAATAGATTTTGAAAAAAATAGATTTTGGAAAGAATAGATTTTGTGAAAAAATAATTTTGAGAAGTGTGAGTATTTAGATAGTTGTTATTAGAAGTACTTTTTATATATACAAATTGGCATAAATTAATATGATAATTATAGAAAAAATATATTTTATGATATATTTTAATTTGAAGGAATAAAATTGTTAATAATATATTTTTTATTAACATATATTAATAATATATAAGATAATATAATTAATAAATAATTAATATTTATATGTATTTATAAGATATAAGATTAAATATATTTATAAAAAATATGTTTATAAAAAAAACAACAAGATACATATCCTATAGGCTCTCACACTCTCCCCTTTTCCTCCAAAAGTAAAAAAATTTTGCTTTTCTCAAAACCATGGTTTTGATTTTTTTAAGGGTGTTTGGCTAACATTTTTCCCAAACCATGGTTTGGGTCCCAAAACCATAGTTTGGGGTGCTTGCCAAACACACCCTTAATTACAGTTCTGCCCTGCGTTTCTGTGCACTCTCATCGCTGATTCTTCTCCATTTTCTGCGTGCCCACCAAACCAACGGTGATCACTACCTCGACTTCTTTCCAAGCTGTGTTCCGCGATTCACCCAAACCGTATAATTACCAAATTAAAATTATTGTTTGTTTCGTATTTTCTGTGTTCTGCTGTTCTGCGACGTCGATCTCTGCTCTCTGCTTGCTCTCCCATGGCCAGGCCAAAAGCTCAAAGAAGAACCCTTGATTCTTACACAGTCAAACCCATAAACAAAGCCATTACGGGTAATAACTAATTACTAAGTGGATACTTTACTTATTTTCATCTTCCGATTTTCCCGGGAAAACTTGAAGGCTTCTTTTTCCCTCTCTTTCTGCCTGTTTCTCGCCGTCTTTCTCTCCTGATATGCGCTGCTTCCACTGTTCTCAGCCGGCGACTGCGTGCTCATGCGGCCGTCCGACCCGTCAAATCCGTCCTATGTGGCTAGGATTGAGCGGATCGAAGCTGACTCGCGTGGCGCCAACGTGAAGGTCCACGTCCGGTGGTATTACCGGCCGGAGGAGTCAATCGGCGGCCGGCGGCAGTTTCACGGTTCTAAGGAGGTTTTCCTTTCTGATCATTTTGATGTTCAGAGTGCCGATACAATCGAAGGCAAGTGTACGGTTCACAGTTTCAAGAGCTACACGAAACTTGACGCTGTCGGAAACGAGGATTTCTTCTGTCGCTTCGAATACAATTCCGCCACCGGTGCTTTCAATCCTGACAGAGTAGCTGTGTATGCTGATTCATTCTTGTTTTGTGTGCTTATTATCGGGTTATGCTGCTGTTTCCGCCTTTCCGCTATGCTTGATTGTTTGTTTACACATGTGCTCTTGATGCTCATAACCTCATTTTGGCATCTGACAATAAATTCAAACTAAGCTCTGTTCGATGGTGCTTTAAGATTTTACATCGCTGGTAGCTATGTAATCTTGCTCGTCAGTCGTGACGCTAATTATCCATGCAGTCATGTGCTTGTTGGAATCGTTAAGGTTAATTTTGATGAAATAGTGTAGTCATGTGGTTTTTTTTATTTGATTTTTTGCTTGGAGAATGGAAACGTGACAACTTTTATCTTCATGAAAGTAGCGGTGGGATCTTATTGGAATTTTGGTTTGTGTTAATTGTTTAATGTTTTTGTTGTAGATACTGCAAATGTGAGATGCCCTACAACCCTGATGACCTAATGGTCCAGTGTGAGAGTTGCAGTGATTGGTAAGATGGACATATAAGGTGATATTACTCCTGATTGATTATGCTTCTGCTATATTGATTTGTCTAAGATCTATTACCTGTTTTATTTTTGAATGTTTATGTTTAGTTCTAAAAATACATGCCATCTTCCTGATGCATTTTATTCTTAATTTTCAGATTGTAGTTCATGTTTTACCTCTTTTCTTCTGGTTTCATTTGAGGAAACAAGGTATTTTAAGTCAGTTTGAACCATACAGGCATCTGTATTCTTTGTGTAAGACCCTAGTTCCAAAAACTGTGTCTGTCTGTCTGTCCGTATGTACGTATGACTTCAGCACTGAGCAATCCATATATTTTTATGCTTCAATTACTTTGCATTCACAGTTGCAAGTCTAGTTCCAAAATCTTGACCCTGTGAATAATTATGAGATGTGATTTTTAAACAAGTATAAATTGAATACTATAATGAAAATGGGTGGTGTATCTTGGTTATTTTTTGAAGGGAGTCTGTTTTCTTGTTAACCCCAGTTGCAACTCAGTTTTCTTGTATAAGAGTATAGAGGAATAGCCTTAGATGGCGAAAGGTGATGAACTCTACTTTCTTGGCTAATCCAGATTATTAAAATCTTGATCACTTATTCAGACTATGTAAAAATAACTGAAATTTAAATCCTTAGTGCTCGAGAATTACCACAAAAAAAATCTTAATGCTTTTCTTGTCCCAATCATTGTTGTCAACCTTATTTGGAAAATACTCATGCTTGAAAGCTAGCTGAAGGCTTAATTTGTGGGAGTTGAAATATATGAATCATTTTATTGAGGCATTGACAATTTTCAAGGTTTGTAAGAAAGCTAATTGCGATGATTGGTCCTAAAATGTTTATCATGTCCGGATAAATAGCATAGTTGCAGTCACAACACATTTTCCCAAGAGATTTTGAAAGTTGAAATTAGAATTTTGTTACGTGGTCAAATGTGAAGAGGATATCTGAGTTCGAAAGAATGCAGTCCTTTTCAACCTAATATTCTTGATTCAGGTTTCATCCTGCCTGTATAGATATGACCGTGGAGGAAGCCAAAGGACTTGACCACTTCTTTTGTGAAAACTGTTCTGGCGAAGGCCAACAGAATGCACAAAATTCTCATACTTGAAGACACTCAGATACCAAGGTATTCTTGATTGTCTATATTTCTACTTACCTCTAAGTTCCTTTAGAATTGGTTTGCCATGCTTTAGAGACGGTTACTTCAATGCCTCATTTTTTAGCCATGTTCATAGTCAGTTTTGGACCTCCTAAAAAATGTAAACACAATATATAATATAAAAATTCCATTCAGCCATGGATAGCACAATCCAACAGTTTCATCTGTGTGTTATTAGCTGAATTTATAGAAAAAGGGAAGTTATTTGCAAATGTTCAAATGTTTAGTTCACACCAGAAAGCATTGTTATGTTATTAGCATAGTAGCATTCATGCGTTGCCTTATAATGCAGGTGAATATAAAACGCCATCGAAGGTGATAATGATACTATATAAGCTTAAAATGAAGTAGATGTACGAGGTTGTTGCTGGATACCACGCTTTTCTAATCCTGGGTAACGGTACAAAACAAACACAGAGGCAATCCACAGGTGTCTTTCTGTTCGTGTCGTAAAAGACTGATATGGAAATGTCTGTTAAGTCCGTTTGGTTTGAGTGATCATCCTGTTTCCTTTGGAAGTCGAGGATGTTTGCTTGTGTGTAATTATGTTAGTAGACTCTCTATGTCTCTGTCCTTGCTTCTGGACTTTGTAAAGTATCTTGATTTAGTTATATATGAGACTAAGTAGACAGCTTTTTTATATAGAAAATACTGAAGAACAAAATCATATTTTCCTTGAGTCCCCAGGATGATCATTAAACGCTATGGACCTTCAGAGTCCTTAATAATCTTATGTAAGACTGCCCCAAGTTTGTAATCCTGGAATATCAGAGCTTTATTCAGTCAACCAAGTAGTCGGAATAGGCTAAAGACTGAATGCTGAAGATGTATTTTCAAAAGGTTTGTATTCCAATCTATATCACAGCTAAGAAGGGAACTTCGTACATTGAAATGGAATTCAATAAAAGCCACTGCGTAAGATCTAACGTTCAGGTAACGTGATTATGGGGGTGTTTGGTTTTTCCTTAAAAATGTTTTGTAAAAATATTTTCAACTCCTCTCACAACTATAAAATCATTTTTAAAATGATAGTTTGGTTAAAAAACCGAACATCTCCTATATCTGAACAATTTGATTTTTTTTAATTATAAATTCTCTTACGTTATACAGCCCTGTAATTTTTCAAAACAGTCAGGCCTAAAAAAAAAAAAAAAAGTCAAGAACGAAGCGTGGGTGATGCCATAAAAGAGGCATTATGAAGTTATATAGTATTGAACATGTGAAAGGAAAACAAACTTTATCATTTTTCAATTAAAAACAAATACATATAAGAATTGCATTTATATTTTCAATGAAAGTATTTATTGTTTTATTTTTTTTTATTCAAACCAAATATTCATTCTCACCTCATTTGTAATAATTACCAGTAAGTTTAAATTCGCGAAGCAAATTCATGTATTTTAACAATCTGATAGTAAACATGCGGATTAACAAATCATAAAAACGTGATAATCTTAAAAAAATCACAGTATCTATGTACTAAAAATCCTAAACCATAGAAGAACTGAGATAAGTGATAAAATTATTCCAATTGAAGAATGTGGAGATGAGATGGTGAAAGCAAGCCATTTACATTTGAGGTAAAGATCCATGGTAGAATGATATAATAATTTCAAGATAACAGGAAATCCATGTATTTTATTTTTGGCCAAAGGAAATCTATGTATTAAGCTGAGAAGTGAGTTGTGGAGTCATCAAGAGGGTGCCATAATCTGTTCAAAAACCACATTGAATCAGCCTCTACTGCAAATCCATCTTCATTTCTGTGCCAACTGAAGTAAGCATGTGTTCTGTTCTCTATCTCAAAAATGCCATGTCCATAACTCGCTTCCCGGTGTGCCGAGTATTCTGGTTGTGGTTCTGTCATGCTGCATTTTGCAAATCACACTCATTTCACCCTAAAACAAACCATTTCTACAACAACCACATGTTCGGTTCCTTTCATTCTGATGTTTAAGGTATCATCACTCAACATTCAACAATTTGTGTCTGTTTCTTATAAAATACTTTCTTTAATTCTTAGTATAAAAGTTACTTGACTAATTTGACCAAATTAAAGAAATTAAGTAAATTAGTTAATAGACCTAATCTCCCTAAAATACTTGTGTAACATTATGTTATATATTAGTTTACGAGTTAAGTAAATTAATTTGGAAAAAAAATACTAAATATAAGAAACAAAATAGATTGTAGTATTATATTTAGGACCAAATTTAAGTTTAATCCCTTGACTAGTTCTTATAATAAGGATAAGAGAGAATAGTGTCCTTTCTATAAATAATCATGATATCAAACATATTGTGAAATGAAATTTGTGATAATAGTGCATCAAATGGCCGTCTAAACTCTTTCTAATTTATGTATAAGAGCTTACTTGTTTGCTAGGCCTTCAATATTCCCCCCATCACCAATGGTTATATACACAGGAGCTGATAGATCTTTCACAGGAGTACATCGACCATTCACAATATTGTATGCAATATTAGATACACGTTCCTGGGACATGAAACAATTAAGTTAATTCTGCAAGTAAATACAAAAAAAAAATGCTGGTGGAAATTCAACATGATTGAGAGAACCATAACATCATAAATTACAAAGATGAATCTTGCGAATGCCAAACCGATATATATTGGAAAAGCCAATTGATGATGCTATATGGATCATGCACCTCAGTTGAAACTTGGTAAAGAAAAGAGGAACATGTAAAAGAGTGCTGGAACTTACAGATCGTTCATAGGCATGAACATGACCAGAAAACACAACATCAACCTTGTACTTCACAAACCATGGCTCAAACATTACTCTCATGGTTTCCCCTTCCATGAAGTGATAACTATAGCTATTATACCACGGCGTGTGCACAAGAACAATCAACCAGGGTGTCTCTGTCCTGTTAACTTTTGCTAGCTCCTCCTCAAGCCATTGATACTGAGGAGTATATGTTCCTGAAAAGAAAATGAAAATATTTACTGCACTGCACTAAAAATTAGTTAAGATGCTCTCCACATGCTTTTATTTGTGTCTCGCAGAAGAAGAATCTGGCACTACCATATGCTGAGTATGAAGCCAAGACAATGATATGTGCCGAAGCTCTCTTAATAGAATACCAGAAGGGTTGAGTACTCTGTGATGCTCTGTAAGGAACGCGATATCGATGAGTATAAGGCTTGAAAGGCTCGGTTTCTCCCTGTGATCAATCATCATTCTCTGGTTAGGCCATGGAAAAATGGAAAATGTTATGGTTTGTTTGTATTAAAGAGTGGGAAGTAACGTGAAACTCAGATTAGATCATTTTCTATGAGAAAGTTACAATTCCTGGAGCAAAATCAAGTTCATGGTTCCCAGCAGTCCATATCCAAGGTTGATAAGCAACACTTCTTTCTACAAACCTTCCCCAGGTATCCCACCTCACATTATCATGATTTGGATAATTATCTGCATAAGAGAGGTCTCCCACATAGAGCAAAGCTTGCCCTTTTCTGGGGTTCATTTCATAGTGAGTTAGCGTCCTGTTTGAATCAAACGTCTGACCAAGGTCCCCTGCAAACACAATTCCCAATTATCAAATAACAAACACAACGGAACATGGACAAAAATCTAATGCAATACTCCTCTAGTCCTAAATGTATCAGCTAGAGAACTAATTTACCTAAATTAAGAAAATTAGTTAAGTTAGTTATGTGTAAAAAATTGTATGCTGATTTAATTGGAAACTAACCATCATGAAAAGCAACTAATCCATGAATATTAGTTTAAAGAATAGATTTTACCTATGAGACCAAATGTGTATGGCACATCAGGACCAACTTCAGGAGGCGTCCTAAACCAGAATTGTCGTGTGGTATTCCCAATTCCAACCTCATAGTAATATTTGGCACTGTACTGCACAACATGAAGCTCAGAAATCAATAACTCATTCACTGAAACAAACCCCTTTTGATTAGCATCAGGAAAATAGTAGCAATCATAACATGGGGCAATTGATCAATTAATTCCTACCTCCAAATCTTTTATAGTGCAGTGATGAATAAATCCAGAGGAGTAATTGGAAAATCTGTAAGTAACAAATTCTCCTTCAGCCAGCCTCTTATTCTCCCTGCTGTTCTCTTTCCAGTAACGCACGACACTTAATCCTGGTTCATCCTCAGTCACCCAAGAAACAATCACTGCCTTCCCCACATAATCACCTTGTGTTATATGAACCTTAACCCAGAAAATCCATACATCAAAATGGCGAGGAATGAGACCAAAAGATTAAGAACTGAATCTAAAACTACTTTACACAGATTTCACAAGAACCTGTTGAGGAGCATTATAGCCAGGAGGAACTGCGAACACATCGCTATCAAGTGGCATATCCACAGCATTCACAATCTTTCTGACGAATGAACTGGTTCTGCTACCATAACAAAACACAGCTACACTCGAAAGAAAAACCAGAACCACAAAACAAGAGAATCTTTGAAGACCCATTTTCTCAAACTGCAAATTAATCTCCCAAGATGAATCAACGTCTCACTAGTGATTGACCTAGAACCCCATTATATTAATCTCTGCGTTGCATGTTGAACACAATATGATGCGAATTTGTTGTTGAATGAATCGGGGGATATTCAGAATCCTCTGCGCATTTACAATGCGGAGTTAAAGACAGATTATATGAACAGAGACGTGTTAAGATTATCTCTCAGGCTGGCATTTTTCTTGCATTAGTGAAGGTAATGAATGAATAAAAAAACAATGAAAGCGTGAAAGTTGACGTTGGATTCATTGAGGAGATCGATACGATAATTAAGAGAATAGTGTCCCTTCATCTACTTCCTATAATAAACAGCAGTGTGACCTTGTTCTGCGTGAAAGAACGATTTTCATTTCATTCAATAAATAGTAGTAATAGTTCCTAGTTTCAACGTACTCGAGTAGCCTTTGTGAACGGATATAGAAATAGATATGGTTACGTGGGGATGACAGTCCCCATGATTTCTTTGTTAGAATTAGAATTAAAAAATTTTTAAGTTAATTTTTTTTCAATACTTATCTTTCACATTTTAAGTAAATGCTATTTTTAAAATTTTCAGTATTTATCTTTAGCATTTTTAATAACTAGTTTTTTATTATTTTTAATAATCATCTTAAATATTTTCTTTCAATACTTATTTTCCATATTTTTATAATTATTTTTAATTAATGTTGGTATTGAAAACATAATTTTGAGAGTACTGAAAAAATTTGAAAATTTGAGTACTGCAAATGTGAAGGATGAGTTTTAATAATTCAAAAGATGAATGTTGAACAATAATTAATTCAACAAAAACTTAATACTATCCCAGTTTATAATATAAGAAGTAGATGACTAATTTGTAAATATTAAGAAAAATATATTGTTCTATAGTCATGGAGGAATACAATTTGACGTCT